TTTTTTTTTTTTTTTTTCTACTCAAACAGTGGCTTTGTCTTATGTTACTATACCTAACGGCATAATGTGTGTGTTACAAACTCAGATACTTTCTAAATTTCACAAGGTACAAAAATTGAGAATTGCCTATGGATAAGTTGCAAAGAAGAAGTTTCCTGGGGCCTTTAGACACATTACTGAAATCTGCATGGAACTTTTCCCTTAACCTGTAGGACTGGAGACTCACGTAGCTGATGTAAGGGCTATGGAAGGAACTGTGGGTAATGTCTGCCTGTATATTCTGTAGTGAAGATGTGAATTATAATCCTGTGTATATCTTCATTCCTGAATTAGTTCAAATAATTTAGTTGTATTGGGTCAGTAATGTTTATATTTTTAATACATTTCAGCTGAGAAGTTAAATTGATAGCGCTCAGAGACAACACTAATATGATAATATTTTCTTATTTCAAACAGCTAGTTAAAGGCCTTCAGCAAGAGCTGAATCGATTATATTCCCTTTTCTGTTCTCGGAATCCAGACTTTGAAGAAAAAGGGGGTAAAGTGTCAATAGTGTCCCATTCCTTGGGATGTGTAATCACTTACGACATAATGACTGGCTGGAACCCAGTGCGACTGTATGAGCAGCTGCTGCAGAAGGAGGAAGAGCTGCCGGATGAGCGGTGGATGTGCTACGAGGAGCGGCACCTTCTGGACGAGCTGTACATAACGAGACGACGGTGAGATGGCCTCTCCCGCAAGGGACCACAAGTCTCGGTGGAGTTCCCAGACCTCTTAGGAGAAAGCTTTAGGATGTTCACGACTGAAGAAAAGCAATACACTGTTGAGCATGGAGAGATTGCTAACAGCATGCCTAACCAAGCTAGAGACTGCTTATTAATTTTCATGCTGATTACATTCATTTTCCTGTAACATAAAATAGTTTTGTTATCTTTTTTATTTTCCTCTGTCTTTCCCCACTGCTTGTTAGGAGTTGTTACAAGCAGAATCAGTGCATAGAACCATTATTGAAAATGTTTGATAGTTTGTATTCCTTTTACTGACCTTTAGAAGGAGATCTCTAAACTTTTCTTTTAACGATAGAATCTCACTTTACTGCCCAGGCTGGCATCAAGTGATTCTCCTGTCTCAGCCTCCCAAATAGCTACGGGTACAGGCATGTACCACCCATCTTTTAAAACTTTTTGTTTTTCTTAACAAATGATTTTTTACATATGTATTAAAATTTAATTATATATGCTGTGTAATTATAGGAAGATTTTGTGATTCCTTCATCACCTGTGGCCTTCCTGATATGCTCTGTTAACTCTGCTACATTTCTGTCTTCATCTGTAGCTGCTTACACCTTCTTTGTCCTCTTACTAATGCAAGGGCAGTTCTGATAAAATAGTGAAAAAAATCACTCATCCTGATAGTTTGGCATTATATAAAAATAACTGAGCGAGGCTGGGGATTTTTAGTTCAGTGTTTCCACCGCCTGCCTCGCAAGCCCAAGGTGTCCCGAGTTTGATCCCCAGGATCAATCAATCAATAAGTGAGTTAAGGATTTTTTTTTTTTTTTTGGGGTACTGGGGATCAAACTCAACTGAGGATTTCATTTAGGATCTCATTAATATCCTAGCTAAATTAATATTATTATAACAAGTGATAGTTTTGAAAGGAAATGTCATGTGTGACATTTTAGATGTATAAATCCAGTAAAACTTTGCTTAAAAAAAAAAAAGCTTAGAAAATGAACTACCACTTTTTTGGGGAAAAAAAAACTTAGTTCCGTCATTAGTTAAATATAAGTAGATTCCGAACATTGTAATAAGAAAAAAGTGAAGTAATGCACACGTTCATTGGCATAGAACGCGTAAACTGGCTTTTCATATCATCATATGATAGGATGAACAAGTAACAGAAAAATTGAGGTGGGTCAGGAGGCAGTGAAATGAAAACCCCTCTAAGATTTCTAAAAGAGCACATTGTACAGAAGAGAAGAGAATGGACAGGACAGTATTACCCTTTGATGTGGTTTTAAATGTGTGTTTGTTTGTGCCTGCCAATGTTTTACTTTACAAGCTGGGCTAGGTGTTCGTCTCCGCAGGAAGGCACTTGCCTACCACGTGCAAGGCCGTAGTTCTGTCCTCAGCACTGAGAAGCTGTCAGCAGGTGTGGGAGAAGTGCTTTTACTCACCACTTTGTAAGTTGTAGAGTTCGTGTAGCACCTCAAGTGCATTTGTTGACGGGAGCCATTGCTACTGGGTTATCTTCACTTTTTTTTAAAGCTAAGGATTAATGTAATGCTGATTGATACTGTGATTGTCAATAACCTCTTACCACTTCCTAGGCTGAGGGAAATAGAAGAGCGGCTGAATGGGTTGAAGGCATCATCTGTGATGCAAACCCCTGCCTTAAAATTTAAGGTAAGGAACAGTGATCAGTGATCAGTTTTTTTGTTATTTGAACAGTTAAATGTTTATGGCACAAATTAAGTTTAATTGTGAATAGTTATTGAATACATGCTGTATGGGGGACACTGTTGTTTCCTGGGTTTTACAAAGTAAAGAATGGAGAAGACAGACCCCAGCCCTCAGAATACAGAACACCATATTCTTGGTGCCATTTGCAGCATACATGATACATGCACAGGAGGAAGGTTTTCATTTTGCCTGGAAAATTTACAAGCAGACTTCTATATGTGATCTCAATAGATTCAAATTTACAAAGCAAAAGAATGGAGAACTGTTATTCTGCATAAAAGGAACAACACAAACACAGGTATGCCGGACATGGTATGGCACACCTGTAATCCTGCCATTCCGGAGGCTGAGGCAGGAGGATCACCATAACTTTGAGGCCAGCTTAAAGTCTCAAAAAAAATTTTTTTTAAATAAAGGTACGAAGGTAACTTTATAGTACCTTAGGAAACACCAAGTAATCAGGAGGAGTGAGAAGAACAGTGGAGACAAATTTGGGAAACGTTTACTATTTAGAACTATTTAGTGACGATCTAGTTGACCAGAGGTGAAAAAATAATAGTAGAAGTAAATCAGCAATGATTTCAGGGATAGAAAGCTGCATTTCAGTCCCTGAAAGTATGTGAGACAAGCCCAAGGCAGGCTGTCAAGGTTAGTTTTGCTGGAATTTTCAGGACTCAGCAGGAAGGAAATTACATCTGAGATGAGTGGCAGGGAGCTTTTCAGAGTTTCTGAGCATCAGAGTCACCTGTTGAAGGTGATGATTTGGGGGAGATACGAGGTGGCAGAGAGGTGTGACACTGACTGTAGCCGGATCGCAGATTTCTTATTTGCCGTAGTAAACAGAAGACATCTAGGTTTTCTAACACTTATTTCCTGTTAATATATGCTCGTGCCTAGTGCACTGTATTACCAATCCTTGAAATAGGTTTCTCACATCACAAGAAATTAACATACAGATTAAGAAGTGGAATGATTCGTATTTATTATACCTAATCAGTGCTAAATGAATAGAATTAATCTGCTAGAAAAAGCAAACTCTTCTATTTTGTGTTCTGGCATTTTTACCAGAGAGTTGAGTATATTGGATTGTTAGAATTCAATACCATATCACTAGAACTTAAGTACTATAATTATAGATCCTTTGATACAGGTATAAATAGTCTAAGATGGGTTTTTTAATTGTTATTCTATTAGAGGAAAAAGTAAATCTATAATTTAAAAAGGAATATCTAATGAGTTGTCAAATCACATTTAGAACTCAGGGTTCTTTTCATGTCCGTAGCCAGGAGTTGGAGTTACTTTCAGAGATTGATGTTCTGTCACAACTGACGATTGCACTTTTAAAAAGAATATTGGCAAGCATCAGTAAGGAGAATGACAAACTTGTATTCTGGTCATAAGGCTTTGCCTCTAACTAGTTATGTAGCACCAGCCAAATGACAACAGTTCATCTGTTAACTCATCTCTGAACAAGGAGGTTAGATTAAATGTCTTTCAGAATTCTTTGATGGCTGTAAATACCACTAAAGCAGTCATTCATTACCTTTATCTGAGAGAATTCCCCTTTAGTGTGTTTGTCAAACTGCATTTTCATCATAAACAAAAGAAAAGTTGTTTATTCCGCAGCTATAATAATTGAGCAAACATTTAGGAAGTGCCTGACCAATGCCTAAGTGTTTTGCTAGGTGGAGTGTGTGTGCATGCGTGGATGAATGCTATGTTTCGAGCAGAAAGAATTTATATCACTTTCTCCATCTATTTTTTTTATCTTTTTTAACCTTTCAGTTTATAGAAGAAATTACCTTGTTCTTTTCAAATACTGGTATTGTCACGTGTGTCCCTATTATTTAAAATGCTCATTCTTTGAGCTGGGAATGGGCTCAGTGATAGATCACTTGAGGCACCACAAAAAAAGTTCAATTCCTGGCACCACAAAAAAAGTAAAATGTTTTTTCTTTTATGTTGAATTTTTATACAAGCTAATTTTCCTCAGTCTACAAGTATGTTGAAATCACCTAGTCAATAAAAAAAAAATCTCAAACCTTTAACATAAAAGTATTCCACAGTATGTATTCAATTGTGTATTTTTTAATTTTGAGGAGAAAAAGAAAAATCAGTCTAGAGTCTTTGTGGAGAAGGATTAAAGGTATATGAAAGAGGAGGCAGGAACACTGCCACAGGATAGCCTGGGGACTGGTGATGAGAAGTGGTAGTGTTAGGACTGAGGGAAGGGTGAGGTGGAGATCTCAGTGGGACGGAGGAGCTGGGTGGAGTGGCACATGCTTGTAATCCCAGCCGTTCCAGAGCTGAGATAGAATTACAAGTTTGAGGCAGCCTAGTTAAGACCTTGCCTCAAAATAAAAAGAATCTTTAAGGGTCTGGATTTGTAGCTCAGTGACAGAACACTTGCCTATCATGTGCGAGGGCCTGGATTCGAACCCAAGTGCCACATCTTTTAAAAAAGGAAAGGAAAGAAAAGAGACAACGCCGTAGCAGAGGTAGGATGGGTTTAGAAGGTGTGGTGTTGCGTACACGCAAGCGCTGTTGCCTACTCCTTTTTCCTGATCCCCAGTCTTCCCCTGGCTCTATCCCAGGTCTCTTCTCTCCCTTTCCCTCAGTAGCTCCTTTTCCACCTACTAAATAAATATATCAATTCCTCTTCCTTCCTGATACAGCCTTCCTCTAACTCCACACTTCCCAGGCAAGTGCAGGTTTTCTTAGCTTTACATGCTGCTTCTCTGGTGCTGATGCGTGGAACTGGGTGGTGACCTAGCCTCTCCTGTGTCTCTTGCACTAGAATTTCAGCTCCATGTTACACGTTACAGATAACCTCACACCTCCTGCGAGCAGAAGGCAGCATTTACAGTTAATGCAGGCGCTGTCCTCGCACTCAGCCGGACCCACGTCTGTTCTCTCACAGCTTCCTCCTCTGCCTTCTCCATTCAGTCTCACGGATTCCGCTCTGTCCCGTCACATTTCCGCTTTTGGAACTGCCTCTCCTGCCTCGTCAAGATTACCTCTTACCTCAGCTCTTCCCGTACATCTCACTTTTCCTAAAATAGCAGTCTTACTTTTCTACTTCATCCACACACGACCACCGCATTTAACTTGCCAGTCCAGCTTCCTTCGTGAAACGAAGACCTTGAATAGTATTGTCATCCCAGGCTACATCTTCCCCACACACACAATTTTTCAGTCATATTTATTTCTTTTCACAAAATAAACTGGGCACTTTCTGGCCCCTGCTTTAGCTCTTGTGGCTCTGTCCATCTGTCTGTCATTCTTCCCAGTCTAGTGGCCCAGCCTCAGCTGTGGAAATCCTGTTCTGCTTTTCCTGGCCTCTCCAAATGCTGCTGCCTCTGCTGTGCATTTATTTTCTTCCTTTTCCCCCACAGCATTATTAATTCTGGATGCAGACACTCTGCATTATTGGTCTGATCGATCTCTCCCCATCACAGCTCTTAGCAAAGTCACATAAAGTAGTGGCTCAGGAATTCTTTAATTACTGCACAATAACATTTTCTTCCTTCCCTTTTCACTTAAATAATGAAATTTCACCTGGAAGCAGATTATTTAGAGTGACCAGTAGTTGGCATATAATTAACAAGTAATACAGTTGCCATTTGGATAAAACTTATTAGAAAGAAATATCCTCAGAGACAGTTGTTTGTATTTTACTCTACAATATGTCTTGCCAGAATTTTTTGAAAGTAACACTCCGCCATTTCTTAAATTTAGGATGGCTTTGTCATTTTAGGTTGAAAATTTCTTCTGTATGGGATCCCCACTTGCAGTCTTTTTGGCATTGCGTGGCATCCGCCCAGGAAACACTGGAAGTCAAGACCATATTTTACCTAGAGAGATTTGTCACCGCTTACTAAATATTTTTCACCCTACAGATCCAGTGGTGAGTTGCAATGAAGACTTTTTTCCCCTCGGTATTAGATTATTCCTAAAAAAAAAATCTTAACAGAAACCTTGCCAGATACCATTGAATTAACAACAACAACAACAAAAGTTCATTTATCTGATGTGCTTGCAGAATTTTATGTTCCAAAATGTTTTAGTTCCTCTAGGGTTCGTGAAATAAAATACCTTAGAGATGATCTGTTTATATTGTACTTGGCAATGTGAGACCTCAATTTAAAAATATTATCCTGGACAATTAATACAAGAGACAGAGAGGAGTCTTCTACACTTCAAATCTTATACCAGTAACCAAGTAAACATAAATCTTAAAAATCCTGCTTTACTTTTTTTCTAAAGCATACTATAATGTTGTAATGTGTTTGATCATCTTGAAAATATGCAGGTATTATATATTGCACATGAAAAGGTAGTACTGTTCAGTCTACTTGAAGTGTAAAATAATTGAATTTTTTTCTATTCCCTATTAAATTTGTGTTGTAAATAATGTTTTTTAATGTAAATCCTCCAAAGATCTTGCGTGTAGGTAAATAGTGTAGTAACAAGTAAGTTTATTTAAAGAAGAAAAATGCAGTCTGGGAGTGGCGCTCAGTTAGGGTGCATACTTAGCATGTAGGAGGCCCCAGGTTTGATCCTCAGCAAACCCCCACCAAAAATTTCCTGTAATCCTTTTGGGAGCAAAGCTAACTATATTTAAATAGCAAAACAAACTCTTAATTACTATTTATTCTCAGAAAATAAGCTTAAACTTGTGTAAAGTTTTCTAAAAGATCTTTAATACCAAGTAACTTTAACATGAGCACTGGAATTTTAGAAACTCTCCCATATGATAAAGACTCACAGCTGTCATATTTAAGAAATAAACTTCACCTGGAACTGAAGCAGAAAGAAATGAACTTCAACTAGAATCACAACTGGAACCTAATATTAGACTCAAACACACTGCAGTCTTGGCAAGTCACTCTGAGGTAGATCTCATCTACATGATGCAGATAATATTTCAGCTTACAGGGTTATAGGAATTAAGTAAAATATATGTGAAAAACTCTGCTAGACAGTAAGGATTTCATTACTACATATTCATTTTACCCATTCTCTCATGAACTCATATTTAGTTTGGTTTTTACGTTTGATCGTTGGGTGCTGGGGATGGAACCCAGGGCCTTACACACCAGCTCCTCTGAGTTCTATTAATATTTCTTAATACTTTGTCCCAACTATGGTTTTTATAAACCACAAACATTACCTGTTCTTTCTCACATCCTATAAAGGAGGAAAGTACCACCTTTGACAGCAGAGTATGAGATAGTTTTTCTGCTCTCTCATACCTACTTCACATGAGACAGATGTTCTTTTGTTAGCTGTTACTATACTAACCTGTTTGAAATTTGAGTTTAGGCCAGGTGCAGTGGTGCACACCTATAATCCCAGCATTCAGGATGCTGAGGCAGGAGGATTATTTGAGTTAGAGGTCAGCCTGGGCTACATAATAAGACTTTGTTTTAAAAATCAAAAAGGAAAGGAGAGAGGGAGGTTGCATTTAATAAAATACTCTAAAATATTAAAAATTGACCATATTTCTGTGTTTTAGATTAGAGTTTAACTACTACAGATTTGGGAGGTTGACGTGCACCTGTAAATGAGATCGTAATATGATAAAAATCAATCTGTTTCTCTGAAAAATGAATCAATAGACACAGTTGGCCTAGACTCCTTTTTAAAAAAAATCTCATTAAGGATGTATAATTAGACCAACCACATATTATTAACAATAAATGAGTACAAATACATGTTTCCACTACATATCCACTTTTTTAAATTCTCTAAGGTCTACTTAGTATGCAGTAAAAGAAGCATTATGCATTGATATTGTGTTTCTTTGAATTTTTTTACATCAAGGCTTACAGATTAGAACCATTGATATTGAAACACTACAGCAACATCTCACCTGTCCAGATCCACTGGTACAACACTTCAAACCCTCTACCTTACGAACATATGAAGCCAAGCTTTCTCAACCCAGCCAAAGAGCCTACCTCAGCTTCAGATAATGAAGGCATCTCGACCATACCCAGCCCTGTGACCTCACCGGTCCTAGCCCGCCGTCACTATGGGGAATCTATTACTAATATAGGCAAAGCCAGCATATTAGGTAATTTCTCTTCAGTGTTCCTTATCTCTGACCATAAATGTTTTTGTATGGATATGAAATGTGAAGAACTTGAAATTACTCTGTACAGTTAACCCTCTAGAATGAAGTACCCTGTGACTACGTATTTGAGGGGCAAAAGCTCCAAGTTTTCTGTTTAGAGCAGATTCTGCTGTTTTAGGGTGTTAAATAACTGGATGGACCAGAAAAAAGCACTGTTGTAAGAGGCAAGTACCACATCTTAATCTTCACCCTACCACTTACTGGGGATATCCTGCACAAATCCTGTGGTTTTCAGTGCCCCACTCCCTCCTCTGAAGCAAGTGTCCATATCAGCCAGTTCTCTGATCTGTTCTATATCTTGCAGTGTACTTCCTGAGGGCAACAAAGATATTTAGTGTCTCTTTGAATGATCTCCAGTATGAGCACAGTGTTTGGTGTCTCACTGGAACTCGGTTTTGTGCCACTGGAATTTGTTCTTGCTTCTGGTTACAAGGTGCCTTAATATAAAGCACCACAAGATGGCACTAGAACTAGGCTTTATCTTCTAGACTATTTCATCACACACGTTCTTTATTTGTGGCTTTTCATGGCATATCCACTTGAGTTCAGAAGTAGGTATATCTGTCAATAGTATACATATGCCCACATCAGTGGTGTGGTTCTTTTATTAAAGATTTTAACTTTGCCAAATATTTTTATAACAACGATGACTTGAATAGAACACATTTATTCTTTTGTGTGTATATTCCTGTAAGCTGTAGGCCCAGAGTTTATACAACTCTCCTTTTCCACACCATTTTTATTTAGAAACCTGCAGTATAAATTGTAATTTTCTTATGGCCTCACCCTGGAAAAACATGACTATGCCTTACTCCCTCCTCTGGTTGGCTGCAATTGTGGGTGGCGGACTTAGCCTGGTAATGCTGTGACTCAGCAGATGACTCCCCTGTTCTGCGGCATGCAGGGGCTGCGAGCATCGGAAAGGGGCTCGGAGGAATGCTGTTCTCCAGATTCGGACGCTCATCGGCGTCGCAGCCATCGGAGACCTCCAGAGACTCCATGGAAGACGAGAAGAAGCCAGCTGCTTCGCCCTCCACGTCCACCGTAGCCACACAAACCCTTCCACACAGCAGCTCGGGCTTTCTTGACTCTGCATGTTAGTTCCTGCAGTTCTTTCCTAGAGTTTATGCTGTTGGCTTTTGAAAACTTGAGGGGAGGAAAGTTTAAGGCATTAATACTAGATCTGAAACAAACTTTAGCTTTTAAAGAAAAATTGACTTTCCTTCTCCTTACATTTTTAGCAATACTTTCCAGGTAAATGCAATTTCAGTTTCTGCATTTGTGATTAGTGATAGATTATTAATAATCATGACCTGGCGTAAGGGTCTGAAATATCAAGCAAAAAACAAATCTCTGTGGGGTAAGTATCTGTTGGGTTTTTTCTTTGCAGTACAAGGGATTAAAACCATGGCTTTTGCACTGAGCTAAATCCCCAGCCCTTTTTTATTTATTCATTTATTTTGTTGGGACAGTCTCACTGTGGTTGTCCTGGCTGGTCTCAAACTTGCTGTTTTCCTGCCTCAGCCTCCTAGAGTGCTGGAATTACAGGCATGTGCACTATACCCAGTGACCCCGATTGTTATGAATTATATTTTTACTAATACTAATATGATCTCAGTCTTAACAGTTCATGTAATTGCTTCAACTCTGCTGTCTGATCTTGAAACTTTTTATACCAAAGCCATCCTGCTGCTAATTTCACAGCGCCCCTCAACCAGCCTAATTACACAGCCCTCAACACTTAGAGGTGTTACTATTATAGAACCACTGTGTGGCTGGCTCCCAGTCCTATCCCAACTTCCTAGTGTACACGAAGGATTGCGGAAATGAGTGAGTGAGTAGTGTTGGACTTTGTGTTAAAACAGAACTTTAAGTGTTTCTAGTGGATGTACAAAGTTTAAAATCTTGAATAGCTGTGAGATACTAATGTACTTTGGATATATTTACTTCGGAGAGTCTAAGCTTGGAAGCTTGGACTTTAAATGTTGAGTAAAATAAAACTAGTACAAGTCCTACTTTTCCACTGACATGTGAGAGAAAGTGGAGATTTGAAACTATTGTCTTTGTATAACAAGAAGAAAACTTTGCTTCTTTCTCTAGAAGTTTTCAAACATTTCATTTACTAGTAGCATTATATTCTTACTGGGTCTGCCACTCTAAATTGTGAATGCTGAGTAGCCATTGTGCTTCATTAATCTCAAGTGGAGAAACAAAAAGAAACCCAGAAAACCACTTAGGAGTTAAGTTCAGCTGTAATAGCTCCAGAAACTGGCTGCATCCTCCACAGTCAGCCACTCCAGGATGAATTATCAATAAGGTTAGACATCCCTAACTGGACCAACAGCATTTTTTTAATCTTAGCAACAAAATTTTTATGGTGATCTTTTGAACACTGTCTAGAAAATTCCTCTTAGACTTTGTATAAAACTCATACTTTAGTTTTGCTAAGTTTCTATACTATTACAGACTTCTCATTTTGACTTAACATTAAAAGTGTAATTGTAAAAATTTAAAATTGTGTTTTGACACACAGATGTCAAAAGAAAGCTCTAACTTAAGAGAAAAATGAACTTCAAAGAACTTAGTGAGATGGCAATTAAAAAGTCACAGTTCTTTGTAATTTGGGTAATGTGCAACACTGAAGCTAATAAATTTAAGGGTGAAAGAAGGCCAGATGCCGTGGTGCACACCTGTAATCCCAGCATTCTGGGAGGCTGAGGCAGGATTGAAAGTTGTGCATCCAACCCAGCCTTGGCAGATTAGCAAAACCCTGCCTTGGGCTCAGGGCTAGGGTGTAACAAGCACCCCCTGGGTGTAATCCTCAGTACTGGGAGGGGGGAGGGTAGAAGTTACACTCCAGAAAAAGTAAAGCATTGAATCTAAGGGAAGAAAACAGTTGTTTTTGTTTTTGTTTTTGTTTCTTAACATTTAATACTTTAACATGATAATAGTGGGACCTCTTCGGAAACGGTAGAGTGCTAGCTTAACAAAGCACATATTCTTTTATTCTTGCTTATCAATTCTTTGCTGACTCTATAGTGGATTTCTTATCAACTAAATCTGAGCTAGACATGAGTCTTAGTCCCATATATTCATCTCTAGTTACTGATGTAACTATTAAAATGGGACAACTACCATGGTAGGATTCTACCTTTTAAATCAGTGCCCAAAATTTGGCCTTACTAATTCTTTGACTTGCTTTAGTTATGTTCTCTTCTTTGTAATCCTGACTTCAACAAATTGCTTGCATCATAATTGCTATCTTGGCTTTATCTTGCAAATCTAAAAAGTTTTCTTCCTGAAATCTCTTTGGAATTTGGTTGTAGTGAGGAAGTGACTATGTCCTGGGGCCCTTTTCTTCTTCTCACATAGACCTCCACAGTTCTGGTTAACCTGTATTCTGAAATGTTTGTTGTTTTGTTTTGAGCGGGTGGTACCGGGGATTGAACTCGGGACCTTGCATTTGTGAGGCAGGCAGTGGCACCACTGAGCCAAATCCCCAGCCCCTGTACTCTGAAACTTTTGTGTTTGTTATTTCACCCTTACTTGAATTGTGAGCAGTCAAGGCTTTTGTCTCTGAAGATACTTTCACTACAAACCTTATCATCCATCAGACTGATATACCTGAAATGTGTTCTTCATTTGTTTTGAAAGCATAGACTCAGTTTCATTACGTATGCCCTTATATTTGTAACATATCATGAAAGGAAAGATGTTTCTTCTAGCATTGTTTGCCTCTAGGTTAAAACCTAAACTAGCTACAAATTTGGAGAATGTCTAGGGTTGACAGACTGCATTTCAGAATTAACTATCTTGATGCTTTTCTTGAGATAACTCTTCACAAAAGCACAGAGATGTACTCTTGATGTATGGTAGGCTTAGTTTAGTCAGCTTGTTTGGAAATACCATTCTAACTTTTGGCCACAGCAACAGTGAAGGCCATCTTTAACCATCTGTCACATTTTACAGTATCTTGTGTTTTGTTTTGTTTTCACAGATTTCAGACTTCAAGAATCGTTCTTTTATCTCCCACAACTTCTTTTTCCGGAAAATGTAATGCAGAATAAAGATAATACCCTCGGTATGGTATATGTCAGGAATAGCATTCAGAACACTATGAAAATGATCTGCTTAGAATTCTTCTGCTCATTGAAAAATTGGATCAAATCTTCTATGAGATCATCTTTGATGATGCCAATCAGACTGTTTATATGTATTTTCTTCCTAATATTTTCTAATCTTAAATGATAGTGTTCCTGAAACCTGGATATTGATTAGCCACATAATGTGCTAAAATATATGATATTCCTGTACACTTCTACAGAGAAAGAACCTTTTAGAGAGGAGAAAATGTATTAGGTCAGTTTTTTCTTTATTGTACTAACGGCTTCAGGCTTACTGTTCTTTTCATGTAATATACTTAGACATAAAAATATTTCCTAGTGCAGGGCATTACTCCTAGTTATTTCAGGTATCATTAGGATTGTAATTATGCCATGGCTAATACTTAATTCCAGTACACATATTTAATGTGCTTCATAGGGTATATTCACTTTTTAAAATACCATTACTGGATTCAAGAAACATTTTCAGTGTTCCTTTACTTTTCACTGTGCTCTAAATGTATCACTAAGGACTAATCTTAACACTTTAAAATTATTTTTTTACTACATTTTTCCAAAGCTGCTCTTTTCTTTCCTGTTTTTCTCTTTAATATTAGATTTTTGTCTTTGATGTTTAAAAAGTATTACAGGATTTTCTTTGGCTGTTTTCCCCACATTGCATTGTACAATTTATTTGATGGTTAATTTTCATAAGTTTATTCAGTTATCAGAAAAATATTGCTTGCTACAAAGTTCCAAAACAGTGTTTTAATATAACAAGCATTTTTTTTGTTTTTTGTTTCATAGCAACAGTTTGTATTGACCTAACTCAGTGAATTTCCCTCACATGATGATCTTATGTAATCATCTTTCCCTAGTCCTTGTCCTGTAATAGCCCGTCACTTCCATAAGGAAGTAATTTTATTTTTGATTTCTGCATTTTTGTTTGAAAGAAGGAAAGTTCATCCACTAATATATTTTTCCTGTAGTTAGATAACCCTCATTTCCCAAAACCGTCACCCTTATCCAGACTCAGGTGGTAAAATCAGTATGGCTTTCACTCATTCAGTAACTGTTAAATACTTATCATGAGCCAAGATGCCAGCACGAAGCAGACTTCAGTACTGTCCAAAAGGTATCGAATGCCAGTGTGAAAATGAGTGTCAGGAGCATGTGTTCGAGTAGGGAGGGCAAATCAGTGGGGTGTGCTGAGCCACAAGCAGAGGTCCAGGGGAAAGGACTCCGTCAATTTCAGGGAAGGAGAAGTGGCTTCCCCTGGAGAAGCGATAAAGGGCATTATGGAAAAGGTGGGAACGGACGTGCAGAAATGATAAGGCATTTCAGGGAGACCAAACAGCATGAGCAGAGCCACGCAGGGTGCAGCACTGTTGTGTTGAGAACCTGAAGTCCATTTTCTTGAGAACTGCGGCTGAGTAAAAGGGTAGTTCTGTATACAGTTACAAAAGTTGCCTAAACCAGACTGTGAAGGGTCCAGCAAATCTGGCCATTCTCTGTAGTTTTCCGTATTCAGAACTTCGCCGTCCACCCCAGCCTCTCTTGTCAGCTGTTAAGAATTTGAATATCTTCCAGGGTAGATGTGCTTGTTTTGTTTTGTTTTGTTTTGGTACTAGGGATCGAACTCGGGACCTGGCCCTTGTGAGGCAGGCAGTAGAACCACTGAGCTAAATCCAGGATAAATGTGTTTTGAGAGAAAATATTTGACAGAAATGAAAACTAGATTATAAAACTCTATGGAGCCAAGTATCATGCAATTGTGACCATAAATATTATTTACAAATAAAACAGCTTTTATGAATCGGTATGTTTTTTTAAATTTCTGGGAAAGTTGAGATGCTTCCATTAAATAGTAGAAACGTGCAGTTAGTCCGCATTATAATACAAAGATGCTTTCTATCCATATGTGTTATTTTTCAATAGCATTCCATGTTGACAAGCCTTGTGCACAGGAGAATTCTGTAATGAAACTATAGTACTGATGATTTTACTTTTTCCTTTCCCTCTGACCTAAGTTAGCTAGAAAAGCTAGCAGAAGCTGCCAGCCTGCATGGTGCCACCCATCTGAAGTGTGGTCCTAATGAGAGACCAGGGCTCAGGCAGCTGCGTGGACATGTGAGCCCACTCTAGCCGAGAGCAGATCACAGTTCATACAGAGTGCTGCTGCCATGCAGAGCCTGCCTGGGGACTTCTGTGACCTACAGAAAAGGGAGAGGAGATGAGACAGACCCACCTGGTTCTGTCCATCTTCCCATGTAGCCAGCGTTGATGTGAGGTAACTGCACTGACAGGCAGGCTCTTGGGGTAAAGCTTTTAAGAAGGATGAGAGACGAGAACAGGCTTTTCAAGTACAAGTTAGCCAGCCTAGGTCCCAGTAAGGCAGGAGTCAGGGCATGCCTGTAATCCCAGCTACTCAGAGGCTGGGGCAGGAAGATGGAAACTTCAGGGCCAGTCTGGGCAGCTTACCATACACCCTGTCTCAGAATGAAAAAGACGGGCTGTCGCTCAGTGGAAGAGCACAGGCCTAGCATGCTCAAGGCTCTGCCTTTGTTCCCCTGTACTGCAAAGTTAGGAAAGTTCCGCGTATGAATGACAAGACTTCCTCGCAAGCACAAGGTCCCGAGTTCAATCCCCCCAGTACCAAAATAATAATAATAATAATGATAATAAGGTCAAATAATTTAATAGGCCAGTAACTAACATTGAATTGTCCATGAAAGGCAGTGTTAGAAGGCTGTACTAGCATTTAAGAATGAATTTCATGAACATAGAGCCACGTAACACTTGTTACGACAGGAAAAATCTTCCTTAGGCTTTAAAACTGGATTACAGGGTAAGACTTTGGACTAGAAAGACATGCCCTGACCTTTGGACATGAGTTTCTAAGAATTATAAGTTGGAGGTCTTTGCCAGTCTTAAAGCATGTTTATGCCTTTTCTGGTTTTGGTTCTCTTCTCTTTGTAACCAACTTCGTCTTGACTTGTCTTTGTCGTGCTTGAGACCTCTGGTTTCCTCTCTCGTCCCCTTTTCCTCTGTTGCAGCAGAATGTGCCTGCATTCGCAGAAGATTAGGGAGCTCCTGCCTCATGGGCCCATGTGGATTTCAGCTGTTTCTGACCTCTTACGGAATAGCTTATTTTAATTAAATGAAAATAGTTGTTTTAAAGACTTTTCAAAAACTTATGTCATATTTTACAAGTATGTTTTAGCCCGATTGGTATTTATCTCTCTTAAATATAAACCTTCCCTGAAATTGTATAGATGAAGCCATAAACATTTCTTGTCATAAAAACCATAATTGAAAAACAATTTGAGGGCCAGGGATTTAGCTCAGTGGTTCTGCTGCTTGCCTTGAAAATGCAAGGTCCCGAGTTCAATCCCCGGACCGCACCCCCCCAAAAAAAAAACAATTTGTAAAAGTATTTTCAAGTTACCAAATAGTGCTATCACAAAATACTTGTTTAAAATAAGGGTTTATATTAGATTGCTTCCTGGGGTCCTATGATTTCTTCTGTGTGACTGCCAGATTCCCAGTGTATAGGAAACCTAACTTTTCCCTGAGCCTTCTTGATTTTTGCCAGTTTTTTTAATTTGATGTCCTTTGGCTCTGTGAACGAAGAGCAGACCTTTGAGTAGCTCAGTGGTAGAGCATTTACCTAACACACATAAGGCTCTGGGTTCAATCTCCAGCACCATCAAAAACAAAGGAATTAGAAAGTCATTTCTGTTAGCAGACCTTTTATTCTCAACTGTAAGAAGTCTGTTGATTGCATCTTATTGTAGTCTTCATTCACGTACGTTCTTTTCTTTCTAGTGGAACTGGACCACAGAATTGATTTTGAGCTCAGAGAAGGTCTCGTGGAGAGCCGCTACTGGTCAGCGGTCACGTCGCATACTGCTTATTGGTCTTCCTTGGATGTCGCCCTCTTCCTGTTAACCTTCATGTACAAACACGAGCAGGAAGAGGATGCAAAGCCCAGTTTAGATCCAGTCTGAACTCTTGAAGGACATTAGTGGCCCAAAACTATTTTTTTCTGTTCAAATGTGTATGTCAAGATATGGAGATTTCAGGACTAAGTACTGTATGTTCCCATTTTGTTTAGGGCAAGAAATAGTTGAATTTAAAAGCACTTTATTTTCTCCATCCTAAAGAAATTACTTACTCCATCGTTTCGATTATGAGTCTGACAGAACCCCCTGCAGTGAATCAAGCAAGACTTACAAGTGAAGGAGGTTTGGGTGAACCACATGAAAAAGTCACAGATCACAACGTCATTTCTCAAGATACAAAGGCCCATTAATGAGTTGAAGCTAATGTATTAACCAAAATATGTTACAATTCTAAGATGGTCAGAGTTCAGTCTGCTCTATGTGCAGTTTACAAAGCAGTATCATTGTTTTAGATTTCTGTGAAAGCTTCCACAATTCCTATGAAGAATATAAAAGAAAATGTTTTAAGTTTAACTTGTTGAGAAAAACTAATGCTAAAAAACATTTGAACTACTGTATTTATAATTTATTACATCTGACTGGTTGCTTTATTTCAGTGTATGAAACATTACATTTTCTTAATGTTTCTTTTGAACATAATTTAAGAACCACATTTATTTTCTGTAATGTTGAGACCCTTTTTTCTCAGGTCTTCATCTTTGTACTCTTCAGATGAATATCTAGACACTGTGGCATACTTTATTTTTTTCATTAAAATATAGTTTCACACCAGTTAAAAAGAAAAAAAACTGTTATGTACCTCAGAAAGCTAAAGTGTTTCTAAACTTGACAAAGTCCTTCATTTGGGGTACATTTTATTAACTTGATTAGAAAATTAGTAAATATCTTTGGGGATTATGACAACTATTTCAAATGTGTAAACATTTGTGTGCCAAATAGCTAACATAGAGACACATCAGTCATGACACAAGGCGCGGGCAGTTTTCTCAGCTGTAATTGTCTCCACAGTGCTTTTCACCTGAGGAGCTCAAAGTGCTTTCAGAGGAGTGCACGTTCAGTAGTCTGTGTGGTAGCTCCTTGAGGTAAGTAAATGTCTTTCTCACGTTCCACATTCGTACACCAAGGCACCAAAACACAAAGTGCCTTGCCTTCATTTGCATAGCACATCAAAAAAGCTGCCGTTGAAGCCACACTGAATTTTTTTATATGCTATTCAGTGACTCATAACTCGCATGGAGCCTCATGGTAGTTTGCAAACAGTCACATAAGTTGAAGTGACGGTGAGGCCAACACGGCAGCCTCCACATCCATTCTCGGTTCTCGCTCTCTCAGGAGGAGCTCCCTAGAGAAGGGAGAGTAGCCATCTCTGCCACGGCCACTCCCTCCGAGCGGGCGAGTGAGCGGCTCACCCCAGGCTCCACTCAAGGTGCTGTCTTTCCTTAACCTTCCCCTCCTCAGAAACGATATCAAACAAGAAGCAGAGGTGGTCAGTCACACATCTCACCTTTCTTTGTAAGCTAGAAATTGACTGCAGAGCAAGATTACAGGTTTTACTTCATACCATCAGTGCTGCTGACTGTTTTGGCCTTCCATTGAGTTTCTACCCCAGAAAGCACTTCGTTTTAGTGTTTTAAAAAATCCCAAAGTTCCACGCCAAGTTAAGTAACACGAAGAAACCCTTGCTATAAAAGGCTCTCGAGATCTTAGCAAAGCTAAAGAAATCTCTCAGATTTAGAGATTCCTGTGAACTCAGGTCATTTTCATAGCCTGTTTATTTTGTAGGTCTAATTTAGTTCTCAGGAAAATTCAACCCACGTCCTGTGACTGTCACTAAAGGTTCTTTGAGTGTCTCTTGCTGTAGGTGGTGTGACACTCAGGTGCACTAGAGCCTTAAGGGATTCCTTCGTCACCACTGGAACCTGAAGAGCCCACTTTACCTTAAAAGACTAAAATTCTATCAAACATTTTCATTCGATACTGAATTAAAAGTGTGTTCCCATAGGCACCGGAATATGTCTTTTCTTTCCTTCATACTGAGGAAACAGTCAAGTTTCACTACTTGGAGTTTATGTGAATTCTTAGAGCAATGTTCAGAACTCCCTTTTCAAAATAGATGCTCTGGGACATAGGACAGGTGTTTTGTTTGCTGCTCATTTCATTAACACAGAGGGTGGTTTTAATTTTATAGTACTCTCAATTCCGTGTGTGCATGTTATCATGGGATGTACTTGTATGTACTCAAGTAATACAGAAGAGTATGTGTAATTCTGGCTTGATTTAGAAGCTAAGTCAATCACTAAATACCATTTTGCAACTTTATTCCAGCAAGTACTAAATTGGTTCCAAAAGTTGTTTTTGATACTATTAAAGTTTTATTCTCTATTCTGCGTACATGATGATTCTCTTGAGTAACGATCAGGCCATTCAACTTTAATCCATTTAGGTCCCAAGAGTTACTGAAAGTTAGAATAAGAACAGATTAAATCTGGCTCTGTTTTTTCTTTAAAATTAGCCTTTCGAAGGCCCCTTGTTTAGAAATTTATTTTCAGCAGTACATTTGCTTATAAATTCCATATTTTAGGACAATTGAAAAGTAAGAGTGGATTTTCTAATAGCCACTCATTTGTATGTGAATCAAGTCTTAGGAATCTTGTTGTATTAAACAGCACCTATTAGCTCCTGCGTGAAGGGCCTCAGACTTGGACTGGCCTCTGTTGTATGCTGGATCGCTACAGATCCTGATCCGTGGCACGGCATGTGACACGCTACATCCAGCTTTGCAAGGTCCTCGGGGCAGCCTCACAGCTGGTGCCCCTGTTCACTCCAGGGATGGTACTGAGCCCCTTAGAATGGACTCAGATCATTCCAGGAGACTCTTCTGAAAAATGTATGGTAGAAGAGGATCAGTGATCCACTTTCTTTATGATTAGTGAGATTAATATTTTTGTCTTCCCTAAGAGCCAGTGAATAAGACATGGAAAACAAAAAGTCTTAAATTATTTCTGAATAATCCTACATTGTTATGGAGATGAGGCAGAGTTAAAAAGAGAATGTGGTGATCATATACTGGGAAAAAAAGACTAGAATTTTACTAGACTGTTGCATAGTTGCCATCTGTGGATGTTCTCCAGTTTCTGTTGGTTGTTCGTATTCTGTCATCCCTGATCCCGGCCGCTACCAGGAATCTGGTGCCTGCCCGAACTTTAACACGTGAATTCATCTCAGGGGTAACCCTTAGTCCGTGTTGGCTCCATGGTGGTCACGGGCTGGGTTACATACATCCTGTTTCACTCCAGGCAATGCTTGTGATAATTTTTAAGAACCCTGGAATCTCGGGGTTGTGGATTTTAGAGGCGGAGCTTCATGTAAGCATTTCAGTACCACCACAGGTCACAAAAGGTAAAGCAAGAGGCTGCAGACTGAGCAGCTAATCACAGGAGGGAAGTAGTAGCATCTCTGAGGAAGAATATTAACAGTAAGAAAGCGCCTTTTTCAAAGCGTGGTCTGACGATGGCAGAAAGTAATGTTGGAAATGCCCAGTTTTCAAGGTTCCTCTGCACGTCTGTCTGGTCTGCTCGGACTGGGGTGGGTTCCAAACTTAATCATTATTTTAGGTGGAATATGCTTAGATGTTCATTGTACTTAATTCCTCCATTCTTCAGGTTCGCCCCTCCCTGTGATGCTTTCATTTTAGAAGTGTTCTCCCCCTGCGCGCGCGCGCACACACACACACACACACACACACACGGCCCCTGACAATCACACCATGTCCTGAGTCCCAGCTGTGTTTTGTGTACGAAATCACCTGCTTCCCCTGATAGGGAACTTCGAAAGGGTAGAGACTGCCTCTTCATCTTCCGCACCCCACGCGTAAACACGCGACTCGTGGATTACGTGAGGTTTTGCTTGTGATAGGTTGTTGACTGCTCTGCCGGCTCGAGTTCTCCAGGTGGTCTCCGTTGCTTTCCCGGGGCATGCAGGAGCCCGACCAGATCCGAACAGATTTCCTTTCATGTTTTAAGTTTCCGAATACTGACAAATACAACAAGAGAGGTGGGGGAGAGAGAAGAGAGTAGAAAGAACAGTGCCCAGGAAGGATTTTATTAGCGCTTCATTCTAATGATAAATGCAAACTGGAGAAAACACTTTGCGGTGTTGTTTATTCCTTTCATCCCGTGGTGTTTATATGTTGACCTCTTATCAACTCATAATGGTCACTTCTAAATCTATTTCAACATGAAGTTAACTCATGGAAATTTAAATTTTTAACTACTTTACTATTTAGAGACCAGGCAAAAAATTCTTGCTAGTAGGGGGTGTGTGTGTATGTGTGTGAGTTCCTGAAAATAGTCTCTTGGCAGATTGCTAGTGTAAACTTTCCCCTGCCTTTGTGTTGGGACAGGGCGGGTGCATGCTTCGTATTGTCTGTCACCTTATGGTTTTTCACTTCTATCTTAACAGAGTGCAACTTGCTTCCTCCCCACCCGGCAGTTATCAGGATATGTTGGGAAATACTTGCTCGGTCACATCTGGCCTGCTATTGAGGTAGGAATGAAAAACACACAGGGTCATCCCTCAGTGTTAGTGGGGAATTGATTTCAGGGTCCTCTGCAGATACCAAAACCTGCAGATGCTCGTGTCTCTTATACTGAACAGCATGGTATGCCCTTTTGCGATCACTGGTATGTTTGAAATCGTCTCTAGATTACTTCTAATACCTCCATGCTGTGGAACTAGGTGTTACATGGTATTGTAGAGGGAATAGTGACCCAAAAACATCTGGACAGTCAGGACAGATGCACTGTTTTTTCCGGTATTTCCCGTGCTCAGTTCCTTGAGTTCATGCAGCCCTCACAGGTACAGAGGCCGACTTTAGATCCGTCACCTTTCGTGCTCTCCTCTAGGAGACACGGTATCCAGCAGTGTTGCTCACACCTTCCCTTGACGTCACCCACGTTCTCGGTTGTCTGCTTTTTCTCTAAAAATATTTGACTCCCTGTGAGATTTATGAAAGAAAGGTGTAAGCATGTTCTGGTTCCAAGGTTGTCATAATAAATCCAAACCCTGCCAGTAAGTCTGGGGAAGTTTTTGCTTCATACTCAAAGGTACATTTCTCAGAAACAGCACTGTGACCCTCCTGAGACTCTTGTTTCCTTCCAACTTTCGAGATTTCTTACGCTTAGCTTGTTCTTATCAGTACTAAATGGTGTCAGTGACTGCAATAATAACTCTCAGTAGGTGGCATATTTATTTTTCCTTTATTTCCTCTCATTTTTAACAGCCCAAGCAGGTTAATTTTTTTCAGAATTTTACTGAAGCATCTATTATTTTTATCTATGTAGTGATCAGCATGAGAGGCCAAGAAAAAAAAAATTAAAACTTTCCCACTAGTATTGTCCAGTTCTGATTATTTTCTCAACTGAAACTGGTGCAATTACATTTAATATTAAAAATTTTCTGAAGACCGAAGGATAGTAAAATCTACCTGTTCATGATTTGGTGTCTGTTTGTTTTGGTGACCGAATCTCACTGTGTAGCCCAGGCTGGCCTCAAACTCAGTCCTCCTGCCTCAGCCTTCTGAGTGCTGATTACAGATGTGTGCCACCACACCCAGTTTAAATTGTCACATTTAGCTGAGATCGGGTGTGTTCAGGGTAGTATGGCCATAGACAAATTGTCACATTCAAATCTTGAGTATAATCCATTCACAACTGTAGTGCAAGGTAAAAGATACACACACACATATATATATTGTTCCCATGTTTTCGGGGAAACCCTGATAACCCAGGCAGATGGGAACCAACCACTACTATGTTCCTGTTCCCCTTCCCACACCCCACCCTTTGGTCGGCGGCATTGTGACTAAGTTTTAGATGCATTAAAGAGTCCATGAATTTTAGTACTGGACAAGAGTACTCCTTGTAACCTTGACTTTTACATTTGGAAATAAATGTGGGGAAGAAAAGGGATTGATGTGTGGTCATGACAGTCTAACAACTTAGACATTGATGTGAAAAGTTAGCCCAATACCCATGTTTCTGAGACAAGGAACAGGGCCACAGAGGTCTCCGCACAGCATTCCTTCACTCAAAGCCTTTGATAACCATTGATCAATCCAGGCTCCCCACAGTTTAGTCAAGCCTGCCTCCCCTTCCACTCCCTGTCTGCAGCGATCTATTTCTGGCGCAGAAAACACCGTTTGCCTAAAAAAAGATTGCATTTACTTGTTGCAGTGGCTACCTATTTTTGCCTGCCTGACATTGTTTATTCCCCTTCTTTGGGGTCCTCCCTTCTCCCTTGGGAAGTACTGCACAAGCCCTGCCCATCCCTGTAGTCTTCATAGGAACGGGAAAAGGCCTCTTGAAGCCTTTCTCAACCCTGGTGAAAATTATTTTCCGCTTCGCGTGAATCTTGGTGAACATTACCCCCACCAACAACAACCACCCCTGTCCCTGCCAGGCTGGGAACAAGTACATGACTCCAGTCAGACTTTATTGCCTGCCCTGTGAGGCACAGGACCCACATGAGACTGAACAACACATCCCTTCCATGGGTTTTATTCGCTGGCCCCAATCTTCAGATGGCGATGGCTGTTAGACACGATCTGGAGGCTCATGGTGTGAGGACAAGACTGCCATCTGTGGCCCGACCACTCCTTCCCGTGACAGGAATTCCTGGAGAACTGAAGCAAGTGCCGCCCCCAGGTGCCCCAGTTGTACTTCTATTTGCTTGAGCTACTTTGAAATGAATCTCTGTCTCTTGGATCCAGAGAAGTTCAAGATAATAACCATTAACCAAAAATAACTTCTCCATCCCTTGTGGAAATTGTCACTGAGGACAATGCCTTTCAAAGCCTTTTCAAACCTCTGGTTGAAAGGAACGCCGGTAGGTTCCTCAGTGACTGCACCAGTTAGTTTTGCCTTGCTTTAGCATTTGATTACAGGCTTTTCCACTTGTTTGCATAAGGACTCTGAGGGCAGGGAACATACCTTAGTCATTTTCCAAAACCAAAAAAAGAAAAAAAAAAAAACTAAAAACGCTCAGGAATGAACAGACCGTAAATTTTGGTTACATCTTATATATGCCTGTCGGAACTGGAAAATATAACTGTGGCATACTAACGTGAAAGACATTTATTAACTGGCGCTAAACTAAAATTCCTAACAAGATCTTTCTAATTGCAGCCACTCCCTAACTGCGCCCCACAGTAGCTCAGTGTCACTTCCCGCCACGGACCAAGACACCGTTCCCTCTTGCCCAGGCTGTGACAGTGTGTTTCCCTCGACTCTTCCTTTGCACTTGCTGTCTCTCACCCTGTAAAGTGTTCTATTTCTTTT